TAATTAAACGTGGAGGTGTCCTTTCAAATTTATAACCGTAACCATCACGTTCACTTTAATTGATTTTCAATTAAATCCTAGTTGTTTAATTACATTAATCCTCAATTAATGATCAGGTGGCTTTTCAATTTGTAACCGTAATCATAAACGTCCACTTATGGTGGTTTAACTCCATTAATATTCCATTAACGTGAAATGCCTTTTGATGTTACCTAAGTTACGTGTGTGGAATATATAAATAGGTGTATTTGAGATGAAAATTATATTCTACAACAATAGTATATTGTACACTCCACACCACTAATATTTTTAGAATTTAATAGAGTATAATATTTATATCTTTTCACAAAGTCAGTTTCAAGTAAATTCTTGGATATCAAATTGGGGTAAGAATGTATGGTGCAAGTGGTAAATTCTTATTCCTTGATATGTATGTAAATTCTGGCATGAGATACTATGAGGTCTTCGGGTCGAATGCTATGTTAAATCCTTCGGGATGGACCGTCAGGTCAAAGAAAAGAAATTAAATCCTACGGGATATGGGAATTCTTAAGAAATTCCTAAGAAATGTTGGTATGTTATGCTATTTTTATATTTATATCATGTGAAAAAGGATGTGCACGTATTCTTACTGAGTGTTTTCAAAATACTCACTCTTACAATATTTTCAGATAAGAACGGGTCATGAGGATGCGTGGAAGATTGACGGAGCGATGCTAATGTGGTCGTCAAGTAAAATTTCTAGAAAAGACAATCGTCAATTTATATAAAGAATATCTTTGTGTTAATATTTATGCACGATATTTATTATGTTGTTTAAACTCTTTTTCATTATTATTGTTATTTTTAAATAAAAATGAGCTCAAGGTGCTACCAAAACTTTTCTCTATCTAATTTAAGCGGAAATATATCAAAAATATTCGATTTCAAATTATTAAACAACATAATAAATATCATGCATAAATATTAACACAATGATATTCTTTATATAAATTGACGATTGTTTTTTCTAGAAATTTTACTTGACGACTACATTAGCATTGCTCTGTCAATTTTCCACGCGTCCTCACGACCCGTTCTTATCTGAAAATATTGTAAGAGTCAGTATTTTGAAAATACTCGTAAGAATACGTGCACATCCTTTTTCACATGATATAAATATAAAAATAGCATAACGTACCAACATTTCTTAGGAATTTCTTAAGAATCCCCATATCCCGTAGGATTTAATTTCTTTTCTTTGACCTGACGGTCTATTCCGAAGGATTTAACTTCTTCTCTTTGACCTAACGGTCTATCCTGAAAGATTTAACATAGCATTCGACCCGAAAGCCTTAAAATATCTCATGCCAAAATTTACATATATATCAAGGAATAAGAATTTACCACTTGCACCATGTATTCTTACCTCAATTTGATATCCAAGAATTTACTTGAAAATGACTTTGTGAAAAGATATAAATATTATACTTTGCTCAAAATTCTAAAATTATAAAGTGGCGTGATGTATGTGTAATATAAACTGTGGTGGAAGAAATCATTTTCATTCCACACACGTAACTTTCATAATGTAAAAAGTCATCTGAGGTTAATTGAAGATTAATGTAATTAAACCACCATGTCCAAGAGTTAATGTAAAATCAATTAAAGTGTGTTACTGTTACAAATTTGAAAGGACACGTTCTAATTAATTAAAGTTAATATCATGGTTAAGGAGATAATTAAGTCTAAATAAATCCAATTATACTAACATATTCATTCCCTTCATTATGACCACATGACCGTACATATTTGTAGGAGATAAAAATCATTTTATATTATACATTACGAAAATATTAAAAGATAACATATTTCGTTTTATTAGAATAACTCAGACATACTAGCTCAAAATTGTTGTTTCTTAATTCCAAATTATACTATTTAACAAGAGCTATAAAACGAATACAATATTGATATATTTCATCAACTTCTAAAAATACATAAATATTCAACCCATATAATTTTTTCTAAAAATGCACGTAAGCAAATAAGTTATTTGTACAAATAAGCTAGTCGAGTTTACCACTTCAAATTTGGAGTTTTAGTATAATGACAAATCTTCATTTGTTGAATGATAAGTTTAGGTCCATAATCCATATAGTAAAAAAAAAAAAAAATGCGGGGTGTTACATCCCTTTCCCCTTAAAATAATTTCGTCCTCGAAATTACCTTATTTAGCCGAATAACTCTGGATACTTGGATTTTATTTCTTCTTCTTTTTCCCAAGTAGCTTCTTCGACTCCATGATTTTTCCATCGAACTTTAACTAAAGCAATTTCTTTATTCCTTAATGCATGTGTTTTCCTTTCGAAAATCTCCAAAGGAGTCTCTTCATATGTTAGATCTTTCTGTACCTCCAATAAGTCATAGCTTATCACATGTTCGGGATCATGCACGTACTTTCTAAGCATCGACACGTGGAATACATTATGTACAGCTGATAGTCTAGGTGGCAATGCTAGATGGTACGCTACATTCCCAATTCTATCTAGAATTTCGAAAGGACCTATGAATTGAGGTCTCAACTTTCCCTTCTTGCCAAATCTAAGATCTCCTTTTATGGGTGCCACTTTTAGAAACACTTTCTCACCGACTTCAAATTCTACCGATTTTCTCTGTTGATTTGCATAGCTCTTCTGTCTATCTTGAGCAGACTTTATTCTATCCCTAATTTTATCAATTACTTGCACTGTCCTTGCAATAATCTCTGGACCCAAAATTCATTTTTCTCCGACTTCATCGCAATGAACTGGGGACCTTCATCTTCTACCATAGAGAGCTCTATATCGGATGGCGCCAAAGGAACTACAAGAATTAAAGATACAGTTGCAGGAGTTGTTGGATAAAGGTTTCATCCAACCAAGTACATGTCCTAGGGGTGCACCAATTTTATTTGTGAAGAAGAAGGATGGGTCAATGAGATTATGTATTGATTATAGGGAACTGAATCGATTGACAATTAAGAACAAATATCCTCTTCCTCGGATCGAAGATCTCTTTAATCAGTTGAAGGTGAAGGCAAATGGCATTTCAAAGACAGGATTTAGAACTCGCTATGGTCATTATGAGTTCACGGTAATGCCCTTTGGATTAACAAATGCCCCTGCAGTATTTATGGATTTAATGAATAAGGTATTCCACCAGTATTTAGATCAATTTGTCATTGTCTTCATTGATGACATTTTGGTGTATTCAAGGAATAAGGACCAACATGAAAAACAACTAAAAATAGTGTTGGAGACACTACGAAGGGAGAAGTTGTATGCCAAATTCAAGAAATGTGAATTTTGGCTTGATCGTATAGTTTTTCTTGGTCATGTGGTTGCAGCACAAGAAATTGAAGTGGACCCTAGTAAAGTTGAAGCGGTAACAAACTGGTCCCGACCAACAAATGTAGGTGAAGTTCGTAGTTTCTTGGGACTAGCCGGTTATTATCGGAGATTCATTGAGGGATTTTCCAAAATAGCCAGGCCAATGACCCAATTAACAAGAAAGGGTGTAAAATTTCAGTGGACTGAGAAATGTTAGGAGAGCTTCCAAGAACTGAAACAGAAACTGGTTACAGCTCCAGTTTTAGCTATACCAAAGGATTCAGATGGATTCGTTATATATAGTGATGCATCCAAACAAGGTTTGGGATGTGTACTGATGCTGTTTAGGAAGGTGGTCGCATATGCATCTAGACAATTAAAGCAACATGAGCAAAACTACCCTATGCATGATCTAGAGTTGGCAGCGGTAGTACACGCTCTAAAGATATGGCATCACTACGTTTACGGGGGAAAGTGTGAAATCTATACAGATCATAAGAGTTTGAAATACTTTTTCACTCAAAAGGATTTGAATATGAGACAGAGAAGGTGGCTAGAGTTAGTTAAGGATTATGATTGCACTATTTATTACCATCCGGGTAAAGCTAATGAAGTCGCAGATGCCCTTAGTAGGAAGACAGTAGGACAACTGGCAGCTTTACCCACAGATTAAGTACAATTGATAAAGGAGCTTGATAAATTGAAATTGAAAGTTGTCATTCCACCAACTCAAGTTACTGCAAAAATTTCAGCATTTAAGATACAACCTACCCTTCGGGAACGAATCAAGGATGCTCAAGACAATGATCCATTCTTGAGAAAAATCACGACGGAAGTTGGTACGACTAAGAGAAAAGGCTTTGTAATAGCGGATGACAATGCTTTGATGTTCGAGGAAAGATTATGTGTACCGAAGGATGAAGGGATAAGAAAAGAAATATTAGAGGAAGCTCACTATGCCCCGTATGCTGCACATCCCGGTGGTACTAAAATGTATCGAGACCTCCGCGATACCTTTTGGTGGCGAAATATGAAAAGGGGGATTGGTCTCTCTGTTGAAAAGTGTATTGTATGTCAGTAAGTTAAAGCAGAACATCAAAGGCCATCAGGACCATTAAATCCATTGGAAATTCCAGAGTGGAAATGGGAGAAAATAGCCATGGATTTTGTAGTAGGTTTTTTGAAGTCAATGGAAGGACACGATGCCATCTGGGTAATTGTAGATAGGTTGACAAAGTTTGCTCATTTCCTTCCAATAAGAATGAATTGTAGTATGGATCAATTTGCTCAATTATATGTTAAGGAAATTGTCAGGCTGCATGGAATTCCAACATCCATCGTCTCAGATCGAGACCCAAGATTTACTTCTAAATTTTGGAAGAGCATGCAGGGAGCTATGGGGACAACGTTAAATTTCAGCACTGCCTACCATCCTCAATCTGATGGACAGTCTGAAAGGACTATTCAAATCTTAGAAGACATGCTCCGAGCATGTGTCTTGGATTTGGGAGGTAGTTGGGAGTCACATCTATCATTAGTGGAGTTTGCATACAATAATAGCTTCCAAACTACTATTGGCATGGCTCCTTATGAAGCTCTCTATGGTAGAAGATGTAGATCCCTAGTTCATTCGGATGAAGTAGGAGAAAAATGAATTTTGGGTCCAGAGATTATTGCAAGGACAGTGCAAGTAATTAATAAAATTAGGGATAGAATAAAGTCTGCTCAAGATAGATAGAAGAGCTATGCAGATCAGCGGAGAAAATAGATAGAATTTGAAGTTGGTGAGAAAGTGTTTCTAAAAGTGGCACCCATAAAAGGAGTTCTTAGATTTGGCAAGAAGGGAAAGTTGAGACCTCGATTCATAGGTCCTTTTGAAATTCTAGATAGAATTGGGAATGTGGCGTACCGTCTAGCATTGCCACCTAGACTATCAGTAGTACATAATGTATTCCACGTGTCGATGCTTAGAAAGTATGTGCATGATTCTGAACATGTGATAAGTTATGACTCATTGGAGGTACAAAAACATCTAACATATGAAGAGACTCCTTTGGAGATTGTCGAAAGGAAAACACATGCATTAAGGAATAAAGAAATTGCTTTAGTTAAAGTTCGATGGAAAATACCTTTTGATGGCGGAATATGAAAAGGGAGATTAGTCTCTTTGTTGAGAAGTGTATTATATGTCAGCAAGTTAAAGCAAAACATCAAAAGCCATCAGGACCATTAAATCCATTGGAAATTCCAGAGTGGAAATGGGAGAAAATAGCCATGGATTTTGTAGTAGGTTTTTTGAAGTCAATGGAAGGACACGATGCCATCTGGGTAATTGTAGATAGGTTGACAAAGTTTGCTCATTTCCTTCCAATAAGAATGAATTGTAGTATGGATCAATTTGCTCAATTATATGTTAAGGAAATTGTCAGGCTGCATGGAATTCCAACATCCATCGTCTCAGATCGAGACCCAAGATTTACTTCTAAATTTTGGAAGAGCATGCAGGGAGCTATGGGGACAACGTTAAATTTCAGCACTGCCTACCATCCTCAATCTGATGGACAGTCTGAAAGGACTATTCAAATCTTAGAAGACATGCTCCGAGCATGTGTCTTGGATTTGGGAGGTAGTTGGGAGTCACATCTATCATTAGTGGAGTTTGCATACAATAATAGCTTCCAAACTACTATTGGCATGGCTCCTTATGAAGCTCTCTATGGTAGAAGATGTAGATCCCTAGTTCATTCGGATGAAGTAGGAGAAAAATGAATTTTGGGTCCAGAGATTATTGCAAGGACAGTGCAAGTAATTAATAAAATTAGGGATAGAATAAAGTCTGCTCAAGATAGATAGAAGAGCTATGCAGATCAGCGGAGAAAATAGATAGAATTTGAAGTTGGTGAGAAAGTGTTTCTAAAAGTGGCACCCATAAAAGGAGTTCTTAGATTTGGCAAGAAGGGAAAGTTGAGACCTCGATTCATAGGTCCTTTTGAAATTCTAGATAGAATTGGGAATGTGGCGTACCGTCTAGCATTGCCACCTAGACTATCAGTAGTACATAATGTATTCCACGTGTCGATGCTTAGAAAGTATGTGCATGATTCTGAACATGTGATAAGTTATGACTCATTGGAGGTACAAAAACATCTAACATATGAAGAGACTCCTTTGGAGATTGTCGAAAGGAAAACACATGCATTAAGGAATAAAGAAATTGCTTTAGTTAAAGTTCAATGGAAAAATCATGGAGTCGAAGGGGCTACTTGGGAAAAAGAAGAAGAAATAAAAGCCAAGTATCTAGAGTTATTCGGCTAAATAAGGTAATTTCGAGGACGAAATTATTTTAAGGGGGTAAGGATGTAACACTCCGAAATTTAAATTTTTTTTCCACGTGGACTGGTAATTTAGCAAATAAAATAATCCATGTCCAACACTGTCGTCACACTGAAGTCGAAAAGTTGAAGTGATAAACACGTCCCACTTATTTGCATAAATGGTTTATTTTGCAAACGTATATTTTTAATTTATCGTAACTTATTTGGATCGAATATTTAAGTATTTTAAAAGTTATTAAAAATATATCGATATTATACTCATTGTAGCTCGTGTTAAATAACATAAATTGGCTCAAGAAGAAATAATTTTCGACTAGTCATATTCGAGTTATCTTGATATGAAGAAAAATATTCTAAATTCTATATTATTTATTATATATATATATATATATATATATATAATATAATATAATATAATATTCTAGAAGTTGAAAGTTGCAACGTAAATGAATTGGAAGTTAATATAATTAAATTAATTAAACCTCATTAACCCATTAACTTATAATAAATTAATTAAATTCCCTCATAATTTCATGCTTTAACTTAAAGGGAGTTACGGTTGATTGAGTTGCCGTCTATCATAATATATATAGGCGAGACTTTGTTACTTTGAGAATACACGTTCATATACTATTGAAGGAATTTTACATTCTATATCATTCTCCAACTAATTTTTTCATACTATTTTTTTTTGGGTAAGAATACATGGTGCAAGTGGTAAATTCTTATTCTTGATATTTATGTAAATTTGGCATGAAATACTACAAGGCCTTCGGGTCAAATTATATGTTAAATCCTTCGGGATGGACCGTCAGATAAAAAAAAAGAAGTTAAATCCTACGGGATGGACCTTTGGGTCAATATAATTAAATCTTACGGGATATGGGGATTCTTAAGAAATTCCTTGAGCTATTGGAATCGCGACCAGTTTGCTCTAAATTTAAGACATGTCGGTATGTTATGTCATATTACATTAATATCATGTTATAAGAATATGCACGTATTTTTACTGAGTATTTTCAAAATACTCACTCTTACAATACTTTTCAGATTAGATCGGGTCGTGTGGACGCGTAGAAGATTGATCGAGCGATGCTTACGTGGTCATCACGTAAATTTCCTAGAAAAGAATAATTTGTCCATTTTTATTTGAAGAATAACTTTACATAAATTTTTATGTATGTTATTTAATATGTTTTACGGTTCGAGCATTTGACATGTTATGTTAAATTTTAAATTAATAATTTCAAATCAAGTATTTTCGATATATTTCCGCTTAAATTAGATAGAGATAAGTTTTGGTAGCACCTCGAGCTTATTTTAATTTTAAAAAAATATAATAATATGAAAAAGAGTTCGGGATGTTATTGAATGGTATTAGAGCCCGAGTTTAGCCAATTCTGTAGACTCGTCATTTATTTTAGAAAAAAATGGTATATATATTCTTAATCATGTTATGTGATTTACGTGTATAAAATTTTCCTTTTGAATGATAATTTAATTTATTTTGACAGCTTAATGGTCTGAAAAAAAAAATCTCATTATTTTACTTTATTTTTAGTATCTTGGAAATTGGTGATTCGTAGATTCTTATGTTATAGATTCTATACTGTCCATTTAAATATTTGAACGTAATTCTGTTCATGAAATGATTTGATAAAATACTTGCTGAATACCTCAGTTGCCAACTTAAAATAGTTAATATGACAGCCATCACGTTTAAATGAAATATACTTACAATATGGCGGGCCATCGAAAGACTTTTATATTGAGTAAATTCTTGCAAAAAAAAAAAAAAATGAAATGATGGTATGAGCATGACCACCATTGAACTTTGTTACATGCATGGGTTACTGTTTCATAATTTTAAAGAAAATGATTATTAATATTTTGTTAGTTACCTGCCAATAAGTGTCTAGTTGCTATTTTATTTTGTTTTATACATTATGAGATTTTATTAAACAAGTGTTAAAATAAGACCCATGGCATTTAACGCTCGTCAATCTACTACCGTCCGACGGACTCAGGGTATGGAGAAAATAATAAGTTTCATTTTATTTTCAAGCATGACTTTATGTATAATTTAAGCTTGAATTCTATGAAATGATTATAAATGAATGTCTAGAAAGAAATATGTTATGCATGCTATTAAATCCTAGTTGTTTAATTACATTAATCCTCAATTAATGATCAGGTGGCTTTTCAATTTGTAACCGTAATCATAAACGTCCACTTATGGTGGTTTAACTCCATTATTATTCCATTAACGTGAAATGCCTTTTGATGTTACGTAAGTTACGTGTGTGGAATATATAAATAGGTGTATTTGAGATGAAAATTATATTCTACAACAATATTATATTGTACACCCCACACCACTAATATTTTTAGAATTTAATAAGGTATAATATATATATCTTTTCACAAAGTCAATTTCAAGTAAATTCTTGGATATCAAATTGGGGTAAGAATGCATGGTGCAAGTGATAAATTCTTATTCCTTGATATGTACGTAAATTCTGGCATGAGATACTATGAGGCCTTCGGGTCGAATGCTATGTTAAATCCTCCGAGATGGACCGTCAGGTCAAAGAAAAGAAATTAAATCCTACGGGATATGGGAATTCTTAAGAAATCCCTTGAGCTATTGGAATCGCGACCAGTTTGCTCTAAATTTAAGACATGTCGGTATGTTATGTCATATTATATAAATATCATGTTATAAGAATATGCACATATTTTTACTGAGTATTTTCGAAATACTCACTCTTACAATACTTTTCAGATTAGATCGGGTCGTGTGGACGCGTGGAAGATTGATCGAGCGATGCTTATGTGGTCATCACGTAAATTTCCTAGAAAAGAATAATTTGTCCATTTTTATTTGAAGAATAACTTTACGCAAATTTTTATGTATGTTATTTAATATGTTTTACGATTCGAGCATTTGACATGTTATGTTAAACTTTAAATTAATAATTTCAAATCAAGTATTTTCGATATATTTCCGCTTAAATTAGATAGACAAAAATTTTGGTAGCACCTCGAGCTTATTTTAATTTAAAAATAATATAATAATATAGAAAAAAGAGTTCAGGGCGTTACAGAATGGTATCAGAGCTCGATTTTAGCCGATTCTGTAGACTTGCCATTTATTTTAGAAAAAAATGGTATATATATTCTTAATCATGTTATGTGATTTACCTGTATAAAATTTTCCTTTTGAATGATAATTTAATTTATTTTGACGACTTAATGGTCTGAAAAAAAAAATCTCATTATTTTACTTTATTTTTAGTATCTTGGAAATTGGTGATTCGTAGATTCTTATGTTATAGATTCTATACTGTCCATTTAAATATTTGAACGTATTTTTGTTCATGAAATGATTGGATAAAATACTTGCTGAATACCTCAGTTGCCAACTTAAAATAGTTAATATGATAGCCATCACGTTTAAATGAAATATACTTACAATATGGCAGGCCATCGAAAGACTTTTATATTGAGTAAATTCTTGCAAAAATAAAATAAAATGAAATGATGGTATGAGCATGACCACCGTTGAACTTTGTTACATGCATGGGTTACTGTTTCATAATTTTAAAGAAAATGATTATTAATATTTTGTTAGTTACCTGCCAATAAGTGTCTAGTTGCTATTTTATTTTGTTTTATACATTATGAGATTTTATTAAATGAGTGTTAAAATAAGACCCATGGCATTTAACGCTCGTCAATCTACTACTGTCCGACGGACTCAGGGTATGGGAAAATATTAAGTTTCATTTTATTTTCAAGCATGACTTTATGTATCATTTAAGCTTGAATTCTATGAAATGATTATAAATGAACGTCTAGAAAGAAATATGTTATGCATGCTATTATACATGAAGGTATATTGATAAAAAAAAAAATTCTATTAAAATCACAAGAGCATAACATGTACTTTGATATCACTACAAAAATAAATATAATTGGAACCTTGTGTTACAGACAATGGTTAGAATTTATCAGACCACTAGAAAGGCCACGGCTTATAGAGCAGCGTTGAACCGTAGGTCCATCATTCAGTCTTATGAGAATTTCGTGACTGACCCGACTCGTCCACTTGTCGAACACGTGCAAGACATCTATGAAAAATGTATGGCAGCTGTGGAGGCAGGACTAGAGATCACACGCATATTGAGGCTGTGAATAATCTCGTACACTGACTTCCACTTCAATGGGGAGACATGGGAGTTATGGTTAGGAATGAAATGTTGGAAGGTAACCCCCCAAAGCATCCAAACACGATTGAGTTTGATGTATATTGTCAGACCCTTCTAGATAGGTGGAGTGAAAGTTTAGAATGCCAACTGGAGGTAGGGAACGAGCTCGATGATGAGCCAGAGCCAGACCTCGAGCCAGAACCTAAAATTGAGTCGAACCCAGAGGAAGATCCCGAATGGGAACATGAGGATGACTTTGGGCTGGAGTTAGAGAACGATCATGAGCATGAACCTGAGCCACTGGTTGAGATAGACGTAGAGTCCGGGCCTGAAGCAGAAGACTCCTCTGAAGATGAAGCTCCGTTAAAGTAGATTCGCAGAATTTATAGGGATTAGAAATTTAGATTCCATTTCTTCAGTACTGTGATATCTTTTCCTTTATGTTATTGGAAATAAAAAATAATAATAATAATTTCCTTTGAGCTACTGTGTTGTCCAATATTCTTAAGATAAAATTTATTTTGTTAATTTAAAGGAAATGGCAGGACAACAAGATCAAACAACTATGTTTAGGGATCTGATGAGGGTAGTACATGACCTTGGTAGGGATCAAGCACCCGCACCAGCTCCTCAGAATGGACCAGCAAATGCTAACAACACAAGTTCAATTGTGGAGCAGTTTCGCCGTTTTAAACATCCTTCTTTTGATGGCAAGGCAGACCCTTTGGCAGTCGAGGAGTGGTTAAGAGGGCTAGAATGAATCTACAAACACATGGCATGCACTGATGCACAAAAGGTATCATGTGCCGAGTTTATGCTGGGCGGAGCAGCAGGCCACTGGTGGGAGTCTGCTTCGTGCATTAGAACGGAAGCGCAACAATGTGCTATGACTTGAGCACTGTTCAAGGAAGAGGTAATGACAAAATACTTTCTCCAATCACTGAGGGATCGGAGAGAGGCAGAGTTTCTACAACTGAAACAAGGAAATATGTCGCTTGATGAGTATGAAAGGAAGTTTGAACAACTTTCTAGGTATGCTACACATCTTGTCGATACCGAGCCAAAGAAGGCTAGGAGGTTCGAATTAGGCCTGCGTCTAGAGATTGGAGGAATCATGGCATCTCACCATACGACCATATATAGTGAAGTGCTTCAACGAGTGTAGTCAATTTCTGATCGTCTAGAAATGGATCGGATGACTGAGAAGAATAATGAGTCATATGGGAAACGAAAGTGGAATGGATCGAATAAAGGGAAGGGATTTGAACAATTTAAGAAGTCCAATATAGGATTAGGATCAAGGTCAAGTAAACCAAATAAAGTTACTCCACGATGCCCAAAGTGCAACAAAGCCCATGGAGGGGAGTGCTGGTTTGGGAAAAATGTGTGCTATCGATGTGGCCAAGAAGGTCATTTTGCTCCGAATTGCAAGGCATACCCACCTAAGAAGGATAATGAACAGGGAAGGAAAGTGAAAGCCAAAGTCTTTGCTTTAACCCGGGAAGAAGCAACCGAGGATCCAAATGTAATGGCAGGTATTTTATCAATATCTGAACTACCTGCATATGTTCTTATAGACTCCGGAGCTACTCATTCATTTATCTCCACCGCATTTATTGCTAAAGCATGTACTGCATGTGAAAAATCTGATAGTGTTCTAGAAATTTCTATTCCATCTGGTAGAATTTTGAATACCAATCAGATCGTTAGGGTGGTAAAATTAGTAATGGAAGGAAAAGAATTTGTAGCTGATCTACACCTCCTAGACATGAAAGCTTTGACGTTATTCTAGGAATGGACTGGTTGGGAAGCAATCACGCAACCATTCGATGTTTTGAAAAGGAATTAGTTTTTCAGAGGCCTGGGGAGGATGAATTTCTATTTTTCGTGGTACAAGTCTTTACCGCGACTCGTGTCGGCCATGAAAGCGAAAAAGATGTTAAAGAAAAGATCTTGTCAAGGATTTCTAGTGAGTATACATGGAACTCAACAATCGGAGCTTACGATTTGTAATGTGCCGATTGTACAAGATTTCATTGATGTATTTCCTGATGACTTACCTGGCGCGCCACAAGATAGGCAATTGGAGTTTACAATTGACCTCGTACCTGGTACAACTCCAGTGTCTAGAGCTCCATATCGGATGGCGCCAAAGGAACTCCAAGAATTAAAGATACAGTTGCAGGAGTTGTTGGATAAAGGTTTCATCCAACCAAGTACATCTCCTTGGGGCGCACCGATTTTGTTTGTGAAGAAGAAGGATGGGTCAATGAGATTATGTATTGATTAAAGGGAACTGAACCGATTAAAAGTCAAGAACAAATATCCTCTTCCTCGGATCGAAGATCTCTTTAATCAGTTGAAGGGTGAAACAATATTTTCCAAAATTGATTTGAGGTCGGGCTATCATCAGTTGAAGGTGAAGGCAAATGACATTCCAAAGACAGCATTTAGAACTTGCTATGGCCATTATGAGTTCACGATAATGCCCTTTGGATTAACAAGTGCCCCTGCAGTATTTATGGATTTAATGCATAGGGTATTCCACCAGTATTTAAATCAATTTATCATTGTCTTCATTGATGACATTTTGGTGTATTCAAGGAATAAGGACCAACATGAAGAACAACTCAAAATAGTGTTGGAGACACAACGAAGGGAGAAGTTGTATGCCAAATTCAAGAAATGTGAATTTTGGCTTGATCGTATAGTTTTTCTTGGTCATGTGGTTACAGCACAAGGAATTGAAGTGGACCCTAGTAAAGTTGAAGCGGTAACAAACTGGTCCCGACCAACAAATGTAGACGAAGTTCATAGTTTCTTAGGACTAGCCGGTTATTATCGGAGATTCATTGAGGGATTCTCCAAAATAGTCGGGCCAGTGACCCAATTAACAAGAAAGGGTGTAAAATTTCAGTGGACTGAGAAATGTGAGGAGAGCTTCCAAGAACTGAAATAGAAACTGGTTACAGCTCCAGTTTTAGCTATACCAGAGGGTTCAGATGGATTCGTTATATATAGTGATGCATCCAAACAAGGTTTGGGATGTGTACTGATGCAGTTTGGGAAGGTAATCCAATATGCCTCTAGCCAATTAAAGCAACAAGAGCAAAACTACCCTACACATGATCTAGAGTTGGCGGCAGTAGTACACGCTCTAAAGATATGGCGTCACTACCTTTACGGGGGAAAGTACGAAATCTATATTGATCATAAAAGTTTGAAATACTTTTTCACTCAAAAGGATTTGAATATGAGACAGAGAAGGTGGCTAGAGTTAGTTAAGGATTATGATTGCACTATTTATTACCATCCGGGTAAAGCTAATGTAGTCGCAGATGCCCTTAGTAGGAAGACAGTAGGACAACTAGCTGCTTTACCCACAAATCAAGTACAGTTGATAAAGGAGTTTGATAAATTGAAATTGAAAGTTGTCATTCCACCAACTCAAGTTACTGCAAAAATTTCAGCATTTAAGATACAACCTACCCTTCGGGAACGAATCAAGGATGCTCAAGACAATGATCCATTCTTGAGAAAAATCACGACGGAAGTTGGTACGACTAAGAGAAAAGGTTTTGTAATAGCGAAGGACAATGCTTTGATGTTCGAGGAAAGATTATGTGTACCGAAGGATGAAGGGATAAGAAAAGAAATATTAGAGGAAGCTCACTATGCCCTATATGCTGCACATCCCGGTGGTACTAAAATGTATCGAGACCTCCGCGATACCTTTTGGTGGCGGAATATGAAAAGGGGGATTGGTCTCTTTGTTGAAAAGTGTATTGTATGTCAGCAAGTTAAAGCAGAACACCAAAGGCCATTAGGATCATTAAATCCATTGGAAATTCCAGAGTGGAAATGGGAGCAAATAGCCATAGATTTTGTAGTAGGTTTTCCGAAGTCAATGAAAGGACACGATGCCATCTGGGTAATTGTAGACATGTTGACAAAGTCTGCTCATTTCCTTCCAATAGGAATGAACTATAGTATGGATCAATTTGCTCAATTATATGTTAAGGAAATTGTCAGGCTGCATGGAATTCCAACATCCATCGTCTCAGATCGAGACCCAAGATTTACTTCTAAATTTTGAAAGAGCATGTAGGGAGCTATGGGGACAAAGTTAAATTTCAGCACTGCCTACCATCCTCAATCTAGTGGACAGTTTGAAAGGACTATTCAAATCTTAGAAGACATGCTCCGAGCATGTGTCTTGGATTTGGGAGGTAGTTGGGAGTCACATCTATCATTAGTGGAATTTGCATACAATAATAGCTTCCAAACTACTATTGGCATGGCTCCTTATGAAGCTCTCTATGGTAGAAGATGTAGGTCCCAGTTCATTGGGATGAAGTTGGAGAAAAACGAATTTTGGGTCTAGAGATTATTGTAAGGACAGTGCAAGTAATTGATAAAATTAGGGACACAATAAAGTCTGCTCAAGATAGACAGAAGAGCTATGCAAATCAGCAGAGAAAATCGATAGAATTTGAAGTCGGTGAGAAAGTGTTTCTAAAAGTGGCACCCATAAAAGGAGTTCTTTGATTTGGCAAGAAGCGAAAGTTGAGACCTCGATTCATAGGTCCTTTCGAAATTCTAGATAGAATTGAGAATGAAGCGTACCGTCTAGCATTGCCACCTAGACTATCAGCTGTACATAATGTATTCCACCTGTCGATGCTTAGAAAGTATGTGCATAATCCCGAAATGTGATAAGCTATGACTCATTGGAGGTACAGAAAGATCTAACATATGAAGAGACTCCTTTGGAGATTGTCGAAAGGAAAACACATGCATGAAGGAATAAAGAAATTGCATTAGTTAAAGTTCAATGGAAAAATCATGGAGTCGAAGAGGCTACTTGGGAAAAAGAAGAAGAAATAAAAGCCAAGTATCCAAAGTTATTCGGCTAAATAGGGTAATTTCGAGGACGATATTATTTTAAGGGGAAAGGAATGTAACACCCCGCATTTTTTTTACTAT